TGAAATTATCAAGTAAACCATTTGCCTCATTGCATGTTTTTAAATAAACCTCTTACTTGCAATTGTGGCTTGCATGATCTCTTCATCGCTGCCATCCTTCTTTAATGGCCAAAGCTCTTGTTTGGTCTTTTGCCCTAAATGCCGGTGCAAATTACCTAAATATGATAGTTTGTGGGCTTATTTAGCCTTTTGCCCATGAATTCAACCCTCAAACTAACTCAATTGAGTCAACCAAGTTTCATCTATGTGGATACATGTCACGTTAGCTTCCATCCATGACTAAAATCCCTCTTAATTTACATCTACCTATAAACCTATAAACTCTACCAGTTATAATGCGACCCGGAGGGGGTTGTATGTTATCAAAGTAACGCATCTAACGATTCAAAGCAGCATTCACGACCATGAAGGAGATGCTCACACATGCATCTATCATGGTCACTCCTGATTGGACCTTACCATTTGAGCTAATGTGCGACGCAAGTGACTTCCCGGTTGTAGTTTTCCTGGGGCTGAAGCGCGATCAGCATTTCTGGCCAATCTATTATGCATCAAAGACCCTCAATGATGCCCAAGAGAACTACACCACCACAGAGAAGGAGCTGCTAGCTATTGTGTTCACCTTCGATGAATTCCGCCCTTAATCTGGTCTTGTTCTTCGTGGTCATCTACATAGATCACTCTGCCATCAGATACCCGATGAGCAAGGCCGACGCCAAGCCTTGGCTCATACGATGGATCTTGTTGTTGCAGGAGTTTGACATTGAAATCCGGGACAAGAAGGGAGTCGAAATTATTGCAGCTAATCATCTTTCCCAGTTGGACGTGTTGGTTGCGTCGAGCGCGAGACTTTATACCTGTCTTTTAATAACTTAACCACAAATAAGCTCAATTATAATGTTTTACCCAGTTGAATATATAAGACTAACAAATGATTAATTTTACTAGCTACGCCAACTATCTACCTAGTGTGTTATCTAGTAAAGACCTCAGCCTAAACTCTACACCCTAATCAAACACCTTAGTTGAATTACACGTTAAACTTATACTTAGAGTAATAAAAGCTATCCCCACTCAAATAAAGCCTTACGATTTGCCTGACTGGGCTTCTAAGCCCAAATTCTCAATTCAAGTGGAAGAATTAAGCCAACCCGGAAACCCAGCCCAACTAGTTATTCAAACCAACCCAGTCTCTAAGTGACCACCCCAAAACGGCTGTGTTTTAAATTCAAATTCAGTTTTCCCTCCTGCTATCCCCTTTGATCCAAGGTTAACCTGCTTCTATTAGAATGAAGAACAGAGAAAGAAAATTAAGAACACAACAATATAAGCCCAGTTAAGCCAAACCTAGCTTCAACGAGTTCCTCAACCCTGACCAGGCATGTCGCCTTCCCTGGCTGTTCTTGGAACGAGTTCCCCTACACATTCAAACCTGGAACAAAATATGAGCAGAGGCACACACAGACTGGAAAATGGAAAGCAGAATACGAACTAAGCACGTGATTTTTGTGTGGTTTCCAGTATTGGGAGAATGAGGATCCCAATACTGACTACTCCACGGTCGGAGACTCACTGTTGTGTGATCTCCGACGATTCACTAAAGATATTACGATGAAGTTCGATGTAAGACTATCTACCCAAGAACCCTTTGATCAATCTCAACCCGATTGATCAAACACTCACTTCTCAAACCCTGAATTGCTTCCCCAACAACTCGTAACAGTGTTTCCCCAACATTAACCCTCAAAGCAATTCTCCCCGAACCCTTTGAGAAACCCCCTTTCCTATCAATCTTACAAAGCTCACAAAATCCCCTTTTGTCTAAGATAGCTTTTTGATCTCTTGAAAGGTTTCCTTTGCACTTGCTTCATATTGCCTTTTATAGACTACAATGTAGCCGTTGCTCCTCAATATTCTTGCTGATTCGAAATCTTCACAAAAGGCAAGATTTTGTTCTTTCTCCTTTTGGCCTGAATACCTTCCTTAACTTCTTTGGGCAGCCAACACATTTCCAGCTGTGATTTTTGACATTTAAACCTTGATTGGCCTTCAAGCTGTATGAACGTGATCATGAAATTCTACCATTGTCAAGCTGCAGCTAACAGGACTCCCCTCTGGTGGACAACTTTGTGGAGGAGATCAATGACTCGTTTCTAGATGAGCGATTGATGATGATGTTTATGGTGGGGAGTGTCACCCCTTGGTTCTCCGACTTCGCAAAATATCTTGTTGGCCACCAGCTGCCCAAGGAAATGATGACTCATGCGAAGAGGATATTTTCTCTGACCTGAACCACTACTTCTGGGATGATCCACATCTCTTTAGGATCGAAGCCGACAGAGTCATCCGTCGTTGTGTCATGGACAATGAGATGGATGGCATTCTCTCTCATTGTCAGGAAGGACCTACTAGCGGGCACCATGGCGGTAACCGCACGACGAGAAAGGTAATACAAGCGGGCTTTTACTGGCCCTCGCTGTTCAAGGATGCGACCGATGCCAAAGGTCAGGTAACATTTCTGCGCGGGATGATATGCCCCTGTTGGTGATTGTTATTTGCGAAATTTTTGATGTCTAGGGTATCGATTTCATGGGCGGTGGGCCCATTTCCTCCATATTTTGGTAAGCTGTACATCCTAGTTGCTGTTGATTACGTCTCTAGGTGGCCTAAAGCACAGGCTTTGCCCACCAATGATGCTAAACGAGTTTGTTAGTTTCTTAAGTAGTTGTTCTCCCAGTTTGGGACTCCTAGAGCCATCATTAGCGACAGAAGAACCCACTTTCATGGTCAATTTGCTAAGTTGTTCTCTCACTATGGTGTCACTCACAAGGAGTCCATAGCCTACCACCTCCAAACGAGTGGGCAGGCCAAGCTGACGAATCAGGAGCTCAAACGCATAATTGAAAAAATGGTGGATCAATCCCGTAAGGATTGGTCCACCAAGCTCGATGAGGCTCTGTGGGCATGTCGAACTACCTACAAGATGTTGATTGGTACTTCTCCATATCAGCTCGTCTATGGAAAGGCATGTCACTTGCCTGTCGAGTTAGAGCACAAGGCCTTTTGGGCCCTTAAGCTTCTAAACTTGGATATGAGCCTTGGAGGTGGTGAATGCAAGATGCAGATGTTGGAGCTAGAGGAATGGCGTTACCACGCCTACGAGAACACCAAGCTGTACAAGGAGTGGACATAGCATCTCCACGACGCTTGACTGAGGGACACAAAGGATTTTTAGGTTGGCAATCGAGTTCTTCTTTATAACCCTCGCTTGAACTCTTTCCTGGAAAGCTCCACTCCAGATGGTGGCGACCGTTCATAGTGAGTCGTTTAAAGTGAATGGACACCACCTCAAACTGTATCTGGGAGGGGAGGTCACACTTGAGCATTTAAAAACAATGAAAAGATCATGCAAGCAGCAATTTCAAGTGAGGTGGATTTAAAAACAAGCAATTTAGGCAAATGGTTCACTTGAGCATCTCATCGAACACCTTGCGAGCATGAGGATAAAACATAGAATTTATAATGGAATGGGGTTTAAAGTCACCTCCCATCAGAATTTACACACCCCCAATCACAATAAACAAACAAAAACCAAGAATTAGAAGAAATAAGCCAAGCAACATTCATAATCATTGAAGCCATATCAAGGGAGATTGCAAAAGTCAACGTTCTCAATCTCTTCCTAAAAGTTGGGATGAGCTTTCTAACCTCAAATGAAATAAATGGAAAGTGAGATGTACTTGTAATGACCTCTTAATGCATGAATTGTTCACTAGAGTGGTATGCCAAGGCTATGGAGAAGTAACTATATGATGGAGGGGTGCAATGCCCAAATAACAGATGCAAGTTGAGCAATAAAGACGAATGAACAAGCTGGTCCAGGCTGGATATTTAAAAGCAGAGGACGGTCAAGATCGCTACCGCGATATTGACGAACACAGCTGCAATCTGTGACTACATTGACCCTCAACTTCTCAGAATTGTCATGCATAAGGGCTATGGATTGAATTGAGCACCAATTATATGTCATGAGAACTAAAAGCATAGTGCTAGAATTAAAAGGATAAATGATAGAAAATAAAACCAAAACATTGGGGTAGCTCGACCCAAGTGGTCTTTAAAGTCTTATCAGCGGAAATCTCCAAGATGAATGACTAGGAAGGAATAGTGCCCTAAACTACATTGGTCGTGTCATTATACGCACTCTTGCGATGAAGTCCGAGGTGTAGACAATGTACCTTTTTGTACGCTCCTCTTTCGATGGGTTCAATGGTACTCTTCTCATAGCGTCGTGTGATGACTCGATATTTGCACATATTTTCCCCTTTGTTTCTTGATCGTTAAAAATTGAATTATCACTTCTTTGACCTATTTTACGCTATATTGTGTTCCTTTGTCACATTTTAGGTCCTAGCAAGTAAAGTGAAGCATAGGCGGAAGTTTCAAATCAATCGGAGATCAATTGGTGACTCGGGGGAAGAAACTCGGCATGACCTGGATAAGAATGGATTTATACCTCATTTTGTGACAAATAAATCATGTGAACTTGTCATTATAAGGAAGAGGACGAGACTACGAGCTTCTAGGATTAAACGACACCTAATTCGAAGGGGGGAGCTGGTATAAAAGCCTGTTTTGTGCGTTTTTTGGAGGGGGGAGCTGGATTTTGGTTCCCAAACACCCAAGGGACGAACCAAAGAAAGAGGGCGATCTAGAGCCATTCTTTGAGCTATTTTGGAGGATTCTTCGCCATTGATGCTCAAAGAACAAGTCTAGACATGAAGATTGAAGCTCTTGAGGAACCCTAGCCATGTTTGTTTGATTGAATGATTCTATGAGTACTCCTACTTGATAATCTTGAGTTCATATTCAATCTATGCATGTTTCCATGATTCAATTCTGCCTTAGTCAAGATTATTGATTCTGCTTTGGTCCTATGTGAGTGAATACCTGATAAGGTCAATAGAGCACTATAGATTGATAGTATTGGATCTATTTCTTTAGTCGAGGGTCAATTCACTACTTTGTATCAATTGAGAGCCTCATTCAATAGAGGGAGTCTAGTTCAAAATGCCTTGATCGGTTGTTCTAGAGAAGGATAAGTCCCTCTAGGCAATCGACTCAAGAGGGCCTTGACTTCTTTAGTCGAGATTCAAGGTCTAGTCAAGGATTCTCCGCATTGTCAATGAAAGTGAAACAGTTTAGAGATCATCAATCATTAATCTCGCTAGTGGCTATGGGAAATCATACCTAAGTGAGTTCCCAACCTATAATTAGATTAACTTTAAATGTAGTTTGCTAGAGTAATTATAGTTGTTCTATCTAAATCTGGTTTGCTAGATAATGAACTGAAGCTGAGTAATAGTAACTCTAGAGACCCGTGGATTCAATATTTATTAATTGAGCCACTAAATTGGAGTCCCTTTCTACGATTACACTTGGTCGTAGTTTGGTCTTGTGTTGTAGCGAGTCAAGTTTTTTGCATCTTTGCCGGGGAACTTTCTAGAGTATTAGGAAAGGTAGAAGGTTTTTAATTTAGCTTTTCTTTCTGTTGGTTTTCTTTTCCACCCTTGCTTTTCACTTGGGTGTTTTTGTTTTTGTTGGTGCATATTTGAAACATGGATCCTCATGGCTTCTCCAACTATTGGGGGTATCCACCACCACCCGAGTGGTATTATCCCGAGACTTCCTGGAGCAACAAGGGTAGAAGACTATGGATTCGGGTTTCAGTACCAACCCCCTACTACGGAGAACAACCAGACCCTTGGGAACTTGAAGAATAATCTCCTTATCAAGAAGAATTCCTCCCACAACCAGAGGGGCCATTGGAGCTAGAGTTAGCCATGGCAGCCTTCACGGGCCATTCTGCAGAGCCATGCTACACTCCGCGGCCAGTTCCAAACTATCAATTGAGGCTTCTCGTGGAGAATTTAGTTCGGGACACCGAGAGATCCTTCCCCAAGACGGACCTTATAATCAAATCAATTGCTCCTCCTGTTGTTCCTCATGATCCTTCCTTTCTCCGTGAATCAGAGGAGACTGTTCCTCACTCAACAAAGCAAACAAAGCGGTTTGACAAAGTTTGTGCACAGCTTTCTCAAGATCACCTTTCTGCTACCATAAAAGAAGAGGAGGAGGATGAAGGAGGCTACAAGGACATTGTGGAGCAGACAGAAGTTGTCACAGAGAACTCCCGCGATGATCATGATAAGGAATGTCTTGTGGTAGCCAACCACACCTTCCCACATCCCACACCGAGCTTTGAAGAGACGAGCATGAGTAAGGAGATGCAAAAGGATCTCATCGAAGAAACAGCTTGGCGACTTGCTCTCCAATCCTTGCTGGAAGAAGAAGAGCGAGAAAGGGTGCAGAAAGAAGTTTTGGAGGATGACAAAAGTGAAGCAGAAGGAGTTCTTAATCTTTTCCTAGGGGTGATACCATATTTTGAAGAAGGAAGGGGGATTGAGGAAGCAATTGGCGTCCAGGTTGGGGGCGAAGTTGAGGTGGAAGAGGCTTGCACCGGCCCTATGTTACAAGTAATATCTCCACCAAACTTTGAGGATCTATTTTGAAAGGACCCATTTTCAATGTCTCTTTGCCAGACCAAGGCCACATCGACATCGCTTCCTCTTGGTAGACGTGATCATGGCCAAATGATGTTGTCATATCTGGTTTGGGGCAATGAGACAAGAGAAGGAACAAAGGAGAGGTCTCGTGTGTGGACACTACATCTTCCTCGAATGCACGAACCATCTTTATCACCTGTCATACCACCTGCTCGTGACTTGAGACTCCACCTAATCTTTGTGAGATTTTGTTTTGTGTTTGTGTTATGACTTCTCTCTCCTCAGGAATGCACCGCTTGTCTCGTCCACCATCATTCACACTTGATCTGGTAACTTCGTTCTACCTTCCTTATCTTTCCTCCATTGAGGACAATGTCGTGCTTAAGTGTTTGGGGGGGGGGGGAGGGGGTTTTTATTATGTTTGTGTGTGCTTGGAGCCTAGTCCACTATCCAAATTTTACGATTTGAGGGCTCCAAGTACGTGTTCCTTGCAATTTCCTGCTTAGTATACTTTGAATTGAAAATTGAAAGTCTTTATAGTAATATGCAACCTAGGGAGGTAGTGTATCACTATGGAGGATGTTGATGCATTTAAGAAGTCTCCTTTCTTCTTCATATTGTGTTGGTTGATTGTGTGAATTAGTGATCTTAGGATACTTGAATCGTGTAATGTCGACTCTCTACCTGTCATGGACTCCTGTATCATGTTTTGAAAGACGTGCTCTAAACTGTGCTTTTAAAACAATGTCTCCCGTGTGGAAATCGGTGAAAGTGTGTAAGGGGAGATGGGAATCCGTTCCCGAATTCCACCTACTACCTCCATTCCCCTTACATTTATTTCCCACACACGAAGCTTTAGACATTTACTCCCAGCATGGCCGGTAAGAGCCGCTCCCGGCATGGCCGGTATGAGCTAGGTTCTTGCCAAATCTTTGTTAGCTGGGAGCCTTGATTTTTGGAAATAACAGGTTGAAACCCTTGCAAAGAAAAAACAAAGAAACAAGAAAATGAAAAGAAAAAAGGTTAATACCTTATTTTGGCCCCAACTATATCCAAACTTTCTACTTCGGGCCAAAATAAGGTATTAACCCAAAGAAAAAAAGAAAGGAGGATCCAACTATCTTTAGAGAAAAAAAAATAGAGCACCTAAAAAAGAGAGTTCATGATCTTTCTATTTTTTAGAGTCTCTTTATCCACAGATCAATTGTACTATGATCACTACTTAGCATGATCCCGACTCGAGACTAGAGTTCTCGCCAAAGAAGCTAGGAGGTGTCTTGTGTGTTGGTTGACCTCATCAGCTGCTAAATGATCTAGGAAGTTCGCTACCGACGATCGGGGTTGCGAGTTACTGGAGAGGTATTGAGAATTGCATTGGTTTGAGTTGGTTTGCGTGGGGACAAGCAAACGGCTAAGTGTGGGGGGATTTGATGACTCTATAATTGCACATATTTTCCGCATTGTTTCTTGATCATTTAAGATTTCAGTATCACTTTTTTGGCCTATCTTACGCTCGTTTGTGTTCCTTTTTCACATTTCAGATCCTAGCTCGTAAAGTGAAGCATATGCGCAAGTTTCAAGTCAATCGGAGATCAATAGGTGACTCGGGGGAAGAAACTCGACATGACCAGAATAAGAATGGATTTCTACCTCATTTTGTGACCAAAGAATCATGTAAACTTGTCATTAGAAGGAAGAGGACGAGAATAGGAGCATCTGAGATCAAACGACACCTGATTCGGAGTCCTGACGAGGGGGAAATGAAGAATCAAAGACAGGGGAACTAGAACGGTGAAAAACTCGGTCTGGAGGCCCAATTCCCCGGTAGGGGATTTTATCAGAAAAAATCCCGGTCACGATGTCTAAAACCCGACCGGGTATCTAAAAAATCGGACCGGGTAGCTTCCAAAAGCGGGTATTAAAGCATGTGTTGTGCGTTTTTTGAGAGGGGGGAGCTGGGTTTTGCTTCCCAAACACCCAAGGGACGAACCAAAGAGAGAGAGGGCGATCTAGAGCCATTGTTGGAGCTATTTTGGAGGATTCTTCGCCATTGAAGCTCAAGGAACAAGTCTAGACATGAGGATTGTAGATCTGGAAAGTTATACTGTATTCTCTCTCCTTTCTATGGAATAACTTCCCTTAACTTAGAAATTGAGGAACCCTAGCCATGTTTGTTTGATTGGATGATTGTATGAGTACTTCTACTTGATAATCTTGAGTTAATATTGAATCTATCCATGTTTTCATGATTCAATTCCGCTTTCGTCGAGATTATTGATTATGCTTTGGTCCTGTGAGAGCGAATACCTTATTAGGTCAATAGAGCACCATAGATTGATAATATTGGATCGATTGTTTTAGTCGAGGGTCGATTTATTGTTTTGTATCAATTGGGAGCCTCATTCGATAGAGGGAGTCTAGTTCAAAATGCCTTGATCAATTGTTCTAGAGAAGGATACGTCCCTCTAGGCAATCGACTTAAGAGGGCCTTGACTTCTTTATTCGAGTTTCAATCATTGTAAATGAAAGTGAAACATGTTAGAGATCATCAATTATTAATCTGGCTGGTGGCTATGACACCCTGACTCGTTTGGCCAAACCTTTAACCTGACGCCCTTTTCCTTTCCTTTAAAAACAGATTCCTTGAAAACTCAGATCGTCACTCCAGTATTGCTTGGAGACCAAGAAACAGAGGATGCCGGCTCTGATACCAAAATGAAACACCCTAACCCGGCCAAGTACTAGTTTTACTAAAATGCCATTGATAAATAAAATACTCAAATCTTAAATTGAAGCTGGAAAAATTTTCATAAATAAATTTCTGAAAACACACTCTTTTAGTTCAAAGCAACGGCCTAACACGTGGGCTACTTAACTCAAACTTTAAAAAACTCAACTTGATCTCCAGTCTATACTCATAATCATAAATGTAAATAAATAACAATCTCTAAGGTGGTTGCTACAAAAAAAACTTGACTATACATCTTTCGTCACGCTCGTATTGTCCTCCTCCGTCTGTCTTCCCTCGAATCGCTTCTCACGACCTCGCTGCTCTCTAACTGCTCCTCTAGATCTTCCTCTTCAAACTGGTGAGTGAGTTGGGGTTAGTCTACGCCCTTACGTTTTAAAACCTCTAATACTTAAGCACTTTGCTTAAAACACTTACTTAAACTGATGGAAGTTGTTTATAGTTCCGCATTTAAACTTTAACTCTTAAAACTGTGTTATCTCATCCTTTATCTTATTGGGGCCCCTACCTCGACTTAGCTGGCGCCACTACTAGCTTTACTTACTTTCTTACTTCTTAAACATGACTACCCTCACAATGGGGTGGCCCTCAAATGGGTTTGACCACCGCGGAATGAATCACCATCCGGTGTCACACGTAAACCTAGGCAATGGAGTCCGCAGAACTCATCACCGTCCGGCTCCATGCCTGACCAACTACCGCGGAACGTATCACCATCCGGTAGTGATCAACTACCTGCGGAACTTATCACCGTCCGGTAGGATCTGTCCAGCTAGTGGCTACCTAAGCGAGGTTACTTATTCTTACTTAAGACTTTCTCTTACTCTTATCAACATAACTTATTAAGCGGTGAATTATATAAAGCACTCCTTCTTAACATTGTAAAACATAGACTAAAATTATGAAACGTAGATATTGAAATGCTCAAAACAATAACTCAAGTCGAGGTTTGCATAATCAACACAATCATAAATCAAGCAGTGCACATACACTTCACGTAAAGCAAGTATAAGGCAAAAACTTAAAAATACGTAAGGCGTAGAATTTACCCCCTTTACACTCACCATATATAATTTAAAACTCCCTGGCTTGAAACGTGGATGACCGCTCTCCCGAACATATAATATACCAATCCTTTGCGCCAATTACTAACATGATCGTTATATATCATCAGAATGGTTGGCTAAAAAGGGGTTAACTCTAATTAAATAATCCTTTGCGCCAATTACTAACATGATCGTTATATATCATCAGAATGGTTGGCTAAAAAGGGGTTAACTCTAATTAAATGCCAGTCCATGATCATGATATATCATTAGAATGGTTGGCTAAAAAGGGGTTAACTCTAATCAAACGCCATTCCATATCATTAGTAAGCTAACTTTGTTCTCAACCTTGTCACCATGTTGTATTTTTCTACTACTAATCATGTTAAACTCATTAGCCAGGAAAACCTCCTCTATATATAATCGTCATACCACTGTCATCTTTTTATGTATATATATGGGAAGTTCTACGATACCCGGGGTGAAATTCAGGGTACCACATATCTTGAGTAAGAAAACGCTATCCAGAACAAGAATTGACTAATCTTTCGGACATGATACTATACTCTAACCCTTAAAGATCACCATCTAGGTCTTAATTCTCTAAATCTTATACCCCAAGATCAATTTAATTAGAAACAATAATCGACGGTTATGATTCGTCCAAATATAGCCAAAAAAATCAATGCACCATCTTAGGGTTTATAGTTTACGATTTAGATAATTAGGACCTAGGGTTCAGTCATTAAGGGTTAGGATATGGTATCATGCCCAAAATATCCTGCTAATTCGAGGTCTAGATAGCGTTTGCATACTCAAAGTATTCAGTACCCTGGATTTCACCCGGGGTACCGTAGAAGGCACCATATATATATATACTCACGAACATTTCCTCTTCCTACAAGCACCACGTCGAGCAACAACTGAGAACTAAATTTAATAACAATTCAGAAGTAGTTGAACCCTTACCTATAGCGAGTTTGTCCACAATTCCAATCACCCGCCTCGTTCTATGCCACAGCTTCCTCGTCTACTCGTCTAATCGATCCCCGCCAATCAAATCCCAAAGCTTCGCCGTCTAATCCCGTGACTCCAGCCCGGTCCCATCGATCTCAAGCGGTGTTAGGTAGTAGGATATGGACGGTGGAGGGTTGGAATGAGGCGATGGTGATTTTTATGAAATGGTAATGGTGTTTCTGCATGGAGAAGAGGCTCGCTGAGAGGGTTTGGTCGAGCTCGGAAGAGGATTTGGGTGGCCGCTCTCCCTCTCTTCCTTTTCGTCTTTCCACCTTCTCCTCCCGATCGTATGAGGACTGTGATGATGGGATGAAAAGTGATGGTGGCTGTTTATTATGG